ATATAAAGTACAACAAGATAGATTTCGCTCCTTGTAACAAATCAATTATGGCAAATAAGCTTCTTTCAACTAATTTGGAACAATTTCTAAGACGGGTTATCTCTCCGCTTACGCGTTAATAGCACGAAATATATCGCGCGTTAATTGTCGCAAATTGGCCAAAATGGCAATCTTTAAACCGCCGTAACTTTACGAAAAATGATCACAGGTAAAATATCTTTTCAAGTTTGAGCTCAGGACAACGATACCTTCCGAATCATAATACAATAAATCCCGTCAAAAATGGCAAGATAAAACGTCGAAATTTTTCTGAAGAAAAAAAACCCACCCCGAGCTTAAATATTCCGTTACTTTCGTATCGAAAGTCGGAACAACAAGACTGCTCGTATCAGGGCGAAGCCCTGAATGTTTCGACTGCCTTTTAGGGTTTATAGAGCAGTAATATCATGAAAAAAACGTGATGTAATAAAATAAAATGATTTTTTTTTCTCTAAAATTTGAATTTTTTGAATGAAACTCATCCCCCCACACGCCATATAAACTACAAAAGAATAGATTTCGCTCCTTGTAACAAATCATTTATGGCGAATAAGCTTCTTTCAACCAATTTGGAACGATTTCTAAGACGGATTAAATCTCCGCTTACGCGTTAAGAGCGCGAAAAATATCGCGCGTTAATTGTCCCAAATTGACCAAAATGGCAATCTTTAAACCCCCATAACTTCACAAAAATTGATCACAGGTGAAATATCTCTTCAAACTTAAGCTTAGGACAACACTACTTTTTGAATAATATAAAAAAAATTTCCGTCAAAAATGGCTAGTTTAAAGTCGAAACTTGTCTGAAGAAAAAAAAACCCACCCCGAGCACAAATATTCCGTTACTTTCGTATCGAAAGTCGGAACAATAATTTTTAAGTTTCAGCTACACACTGGCATCCAGGTGGCTTTAAAAATTCCGTTCAAAATTGGCTCGAAATTAAGTCGAAATTAGTCGAAAAAGGAGAAAATCTATGGAACAACAATTATCAGAACAATAATTACTCAGTTACATAGGAAACCATTTCACGAAGAGGCGAGCCGTAGCTCCAAGGTACTTGCACGCAAGCCGCCATCGTTTGCAAACCTAATCCAATTGTAAAATTCCCAAAAATCTCAAGACCTTTAAATGTTTCGTTAATTACTGCTCGTGAACCAGTTCACTATAAGTTTAATTAAGACTGCTTGTATATCAAGGCAAAGCGCTGAATGCTCAGACAGCACTTCCTGGCCAATTTAAAAGTTATTGGAAAAAAAGTATTTTAAATCCTTTTCGCAAATGTAAACTTCAAAGGGATGTGATTAACGTCTTAAATCCTAATGAAACGACCAAATGACTTGTCTCAACTCAACCTGGAACGCATGAATCGATCCCCCAACCTGGAAATTGAGAGTCACACGTCCCAGTATCTGCGCCATGTCTTTATGTCATTCTTCAAACACTGGTCTACAATGAATCAGAGTTAAGGATAAAATGCTGTCGTGATAGTAAATTAAATATTATTTTTGCAAAACTGCCAAAAAATACTTGAGCAGTTTCAATTGCGACTTGGGTTGCAAAAAAGCGCACAACGAAATATGACAATACGCTCTGCTTAAACAAAAAAGAAATTCAAAAGATGTTACAACGCCTTACTTGTGTAGAAGACGTGCTATTCGTAATACGACACTACACCCATATTAGGTATATAACTATAAACACTGTGGTAAACCTGAGCTTCGCACCACTCGCGATACAAAAATAAAAGACCGTAATTGAAATCAAATGAAAAGAAAAACAAAAAACAACCTTCAAAAAACGTTTTGCCATAAAAATTATAACATTAGCAAAAAATCCCACAAGGTCGGGAACAAAGTTACCTGCACGATAAAAAAAACTTTACAAGAAAATTTCGAAATGCTAGAAGGAAGCCAACGTTCAATAATCTTTTCTGCAGGAACTGAACTGGCAAAAATAAGCAGACATACTGCTTAAAGCACTGACATACATTTCAGTTTGCAAAAAAAAACAAGTCCCGACTGGAATCGAATTCCCGGGTCATGACGTCAAGCACGTGTGTTAGAGCATTTTTGAAGAAAGCTGTATTTTCGAGAGAAGTGGGTTGCGGGGATAAAGCCGAGAAAAAAAACAGACGGGCGATAGTCGGAAAAAATCCTTAGACTCAATATTGCAAACAAAACAGAGGGACCGGCCGGATTCGAGCCACAAGCTTCTGCTGTCTCAAGCAGCTGTGTTACCTCTATGCCACATACGCCGAATGTATGATTGTAATTGGCTGAAAAAAAAACTAATTCCCAAAAACTTGAACACCTTCAAAAAACACAACTTAGAAACATTAAAGATGTTGTCTGGAATCATGTTCTATTTGCGGTAAACACGTCCAGAAACACATCAACGGCAAAAAAGGTACACTATAAATTCTATTCTCGAAATTTAAACATTTTGTTCAATCCGGAACGAAGCATTAAAGATATTTTTCCCTCAAAATTTTCCTAAATTAGTTCTTTTAGCCACTAAATGATGAGCCGAAATCATTTAAGTCGAATAAAACGTTTAAGCGAAAAAAACTGCAAAATCTAAGAAATATCAGAGGTCCAGACGAGTAAAAATTTAAATTGCAGGAGTGACGCAGAGCACTAGAAGCAACTACATTGGAAATTGCGTATAAAAAATCAAATCTACAATGTGGCAACTAAGCCAACAAAACATAAGCAGACAAACAATAGGCCATTTTTGTTCCCAAAAACTTGAACACCTTCAAAAAACACAACTTAGAAACATTAAAGATGTTGTCTGGAATCATGTTCTATTTGCGGTAAACACGTCCAGAAACACATCAACGGCAAAAAAGGTACACTATAAATTCTATTCTCGAAATTTGAACATTTTGTTCAATCCGGAACGAAGCATTAAAGATATTTTTCCCTCAAAACTTTCCTAAATTAGTTCTTTTAGCCACTAAATGATGAGCCGAAATCATTTAAGTCGAATAAAACGTTTAAGCGAAAAAAACTGCAAAATCTAAGAAATATCAGAGGTCCAGACGAGTAAAAATTTAAATTGTAGGAGTGACGCAGAGCACTAGAAGCAACTACATTGGAAATTGCGTATAAAAAATCAAATCTACAATGTGGCAACTAAGCCAACAAAACATAAGCAGACAAACAATAGGCCATTTTTGGAAAGGAAAACTTCCAGTTTGAAAAAAAAGTTCCGGGTCAGATTCAAACCCACAAACTTAGTCATCCCAGGCGTATTTTTGAAACCTAGGTTAAGTGCTGGAGATTCATGAAAATTTAAATTCATCATGAACCAAGATACAGTTGGTTATGTTAAATAACTTGTTAACCCGAAAAAAGTCTATATTCCGATTTGATAACGCTTGTTAATCGCAAGAGTAGTTAATATATTAAACGAAGTGAGACGAAAAGCACAGTATTGCACTAATTTTATCCATGAAAGCTTGACTAATAGTTACTTAGGCAACTATAACTGCCTTTTAATTAAGCGGACATATCTTGTAATGTTTTTTTTTAATAAGTTTTGCCATCAAATTCGGCCATGATGGCAACGTAAATTTGCATAAGTTGCGTTTGTGTATTTATTTTTTTGATTAGCTGCTTCAACGTGAATTTACAAGTCAGTGCGGACCAAAGCAAATAAGTTTTCAAAACGAAATTATTTATCATTTCGAACAAAATCATATAGAAAAAACGTCTTGAAAACTACTCAAAGGTTATTAAAAAAACTCTATACATGACCATAAGCTTTTATAGGGTGCGACTGTTTTTAGAGCATGAGTTGTCCTTAGGCACGATTGACGCGGTGGTAATGTTCAAACCACTTCTCGTCAGCCCAGTACACTTTCAGTTAGTTGTCCCGTGGTCAGACTGCTATAAACATAGCCCACAGACAGTTGGAAGAGCCCATGACTGTAAAGAAACAAAAAAATTAAATTATTATTTTTTAAAATTTCAACTTGAAAGAAACAAATATATGTCCTTAGAGCTCTTTGAATTTCAAGAACAATTAACCCAATTGGAGAAAACTGGATAAATAGTTACATTTTTTATTCCACTGAAGAATTCTGAAAATTCTACTGAAAAACTTAAGTGCGAAAAATCTACTTTCAAAACTAAAGTCGATAACGTTTTTCGTGAACTTCACACTTTTGCAGTTCGATAAAGGAGTTTATGTTCCTTTTAACGAAAGAAAAAAACTGAGTTTAAGAAAATATATAATTCAAACCGTGAAAACTCAGATTTGATCGTGAACAATTTTAATAATTTTCCCTGAAAAAAAATGAAAAAAAAACATCACGCTATATAAGAGTCTTCACTACGTTCATCGAATCTTATTCGACAATTTTGTTAACTACCAAAAGATAATGATTCGAAAATATTAAATTATATTTTGAAATATCACAGCTTTCATGCATCTTGATTTTTTTTAAATAGCATCGCTTTAAGTTTTCAACTATAAATTATCATACAGCTACAATGGCACAAAACAAGGTAGCGAATTGAATTCGTATTAACCTAAACATGAGCAAAAACATCGTATCTATATAATTTACACTCTTCTAATAGTCCTAAATAATGAAGAATATACATGGCGAAAAATTATCATTAGGAAGTTTTGCTCGTTCACAAAAGTAAGCTATATTTGTTTAATTGCCTAATAATTAATTTATGCGCCAATTTTTAAATCTTTAGAAAACATTAGACTACCAAGCCAAAGCTTCTACAAACTGCATCGATAAATAAATTTGAAAAATCAAAAAATAGCCAACTGACAGTTGGAAAAGAGTAATGAATATCGAAAAAAATATATATGGCCTTAAAGCTCTTTGAATTTATGATGGACATTTTTTTGTGTTAAAATTAACCCAGGAAACTGGATCAATAGGTACAACTTTTATTTCGCTGAGAAATCTGATTATTAATTTCCGTTTTCGAAATAAGAAGTCGATTACGTTTTTCGTGACTTTTACACTTTTGCTGTCCAATAGTGGCGTTTGCCTTCCTTTTAACGACGAAAATGCACTGAACTTAAAAAGAAATCACAAGTCAAACCGCGAAAAAATCAATTAAAAACAATTTCCTGAAAAAAAAAATAAAAAAACCACCAAGACCAAAATAAGAGTACTCACTGCGTTCATTACTCTTAATTATATCACGTAGCTTGATTTATTAAGATAGGAGCTCCAACAAATCGCAACCCCATTTTTTCTTTCCAGTTATCAAAAATTTCCACATCAGATTTTAGTTTTTCCATCTTTACATCTATCATATGCTACTGTTATGGCTCCAATGCTTTTTTTGGTATACGGTCAACATTCTTTTGCTTTCTGTATGTTAGAATCATGCACTTCAGCGAAAAACGTCCAATCACAGTTCGGTGACGTTCATCTGGTCGACGTCTTCCGCGTCGATGTAGAGAAACTCCGTGAAGAAGTCGACGTCTTCGATTGGCACTCGACCAGGTGGCACTCTCTTCCTCAATGTGTTCTCCAGTCTCTCCTTCGAAAGCTCCTCGTACTTGTCACGCAGACGGATCAGGTAAGCATCAAGCTACAACACACAATGCAAGCACTAGTTATTCTTTTCATTGTTGGTTGGAACACTTTAACATCCTCCCCCTTAAACAATTTAGGGAAAAATGGTGTTAACTTGGCTCTTAGTGGGAATTTCAAACTTTTTTTCATCAGCATCGATTATTTAACACGCAAGGCTGAACTATTTTAATCCAAGCAAGTAGCACAGAATGTTCCGACCATAATCTTAAACAAGAAAAAAATTTCATTTTTTTGCGTGGTGTGATGAAAGGATCTACATTTTAGGCTATTGAAGGGAAGACTACGTTTTTTATTGCCAAGATGGCGCTCTGAAAATCTTTGAAAACTAATAAAATATTTTTCAGGGCTTAAATAAAATATTCATGGCTTATTTACTTCAAAACTTCCACTATCCTTCTATAATAAGCTTGCTCCGTCGCTTTACTCGCCCGAAAAAGATTTAAAAACTACCCTTCTATATGAAGCTTGCTCCCTCGCTGTACTCGCTTTAAAAATTAAAATTTTTCAAGCCGGTTTTTCTCGACACTGAAATTTTTTATGTAGTTCGAATCACGACTGAAAGGGCTTTAAAATACATCACTCAACCAAGTCCGATGATCATTTGTGGAGCCCGATTTTGCGAGAGAACCAAAAAACATAGTCAATAGACAGTTGGAAAAAGTGAATGACCGCAAGTAAACAAAAAAAAACTGGCTTGTTTTTTGAAAAAAGTTCAACTTTCTAAACCATTTGAGACACAAAAATCAACTAGCCTTGAGACTTATAAAAATTCCCCATGAAGTCAAAACCCACGCACCCATAAAACTTTATTTACTCGTCATATGTAATAATATAAGGCCACAAAGCCGATATAATATAGGCCGAAACCTATTAGGCCAAAAAAGGAAAATGAAAAAAAAAAACGAAAAAATCACTTCAACTTAATAAAAAAATACTAAGTCCCCCTCACCCTCAAAACACACACCCACACGCATTTACAATCCTTTTTTGCTTGTCAAAAGACGACATTTGAGGCCATTGAGCTAATTAAATATATCCTATCAAGCGGAAAAAAAAGAGAAGGAAAAAAAACGAAAAAAAAAAAACCACCATTGTCATGGAAATTCATAATTTCAATAAGATTTTTAGCATTTTGTTAAATCTAGAGGTGCGCATAGAATTGATACTTCCATTGAAGTATCTTTAAATAAGGACATTAAAGCCGATAAAGTATAAGTCGATATCATTTTTTGAAAAGTTTTTAGATGATAAATAAAAACAAAAAAATTACGAAGTCAAGGTTGCTATAACTACAAACAGCAGAAAAATCAAAACGCCTAAAGCAACTAGAATGTAACCTGCATAGAACAAAAAAAATTTACGTTCTGATAACTAAGCCGACAAAACATGAGCTGACTAATAAGCCGACAACTTCTTGATATGGAATGTTTCACAATTGAAAAAACAATAAGTCTTATCAGAGTCCAACCCAGTGCCTTTGTCTTCCCAGGCTTTTTCGAATTCTTCAGACCAATGTGCCGGAGACGCAAAAAAAGTATAAACTTTTATGAACCCTTAAGAACCAACATACAAGTTGTTAAACCGAATAAAGCCTATATTCCGAAAAATCTAAATCAAGCCTCAACAAATTTTAAGACTTTTTCCTAGAAAAACCAAGACCTATATAAAAGTACTCGAGACCTATGAGCACGACCAAGAGCTATATAAGAGCGCCTTCATTACTTTTATTAATAGGGCTAATTATCTTATCTTGAGCCCAATTGTTTATATTTCTCAAGGCCCTCACAAGGTTTAAAGGAGGTCAACAGTATTGTTTAAAAAAACTTTAATGGCATCTTTGGCAGTATATTTCTATAGTGCAGATTCAACTTGAAACGCGACAAGTTAGCCAACTTCAAAGCAAGACAACAAGGCTAAAAATAAACTAGACTATAACAATCTTAGCGCAGCTGAGCAAGCGTTTGTTATTTGCCAATACCGCGTATATGCTGATTCTATCAAAAAAAAAATCAAAACATCAATGGCGTGCACATGAAGGAAGTTTTATGAAACAAATTGTCAATTTTCTTTTAGGTCAGCCATTTAGAAAATTCCGAAATCTGTTGTAAGCCGAGAAGGGAATTCTTTGGCCATAATTTCTGCACTGCAGAAAATTTCTTTCAGAAAAAAAACGGAAAATTTTTTACACAGAGGAAAAACTGAGCTTCGCGCCACTTGCGATACAAAAAATGTCAAAAATAGAAGAAAAAAAGTCCCAAACCTGAGATGTGAAACCTGTTGAAAAAATCGAGGCTAAAAAGTCAATTAAAATGGATATAAAAAACAATTGCTGAACTTGTTAAAAAAAAAACAGAGATCTAGAAGTTCCTAAATGTAGTCAAAAACTTTGCTTAAAATCTTGCAAGCGGCCAAACTGCATGTCCCACAGAAGCAATAGCCAATAAAGATCAAGAAGAAAATTAGCTATAACCTGAAATCAAACTGAAAAAAATTCAAACAAAAAAACAAAAAAATGAGTTTCAAATAAAAAACACGGAAATTCCTTTTTTTTTCAAAACTTTCGCCAGAGAGATCCACACTCCTGAATCTAGTGCAATATTAGCCACATATCCTCGTACATAAAACAGTCAAGTCATAATTGCAAAAAAATTGCTGAAAGTTTATATATATAATTTTTTTTTTTTAAATTCGTGACATACGAAAACAATACACTATGCCATCAACTTGAAACGATTTCAAAAAATAGCTCAATCTCAAAACGAAACAATAAATTAGAACAAACTAGATCCGCGCACTTTTAGATTTAAAAAAATCACAATTTAACATCCAAAAAAGTTCACTTTTTAATTTCATTTTTTTCTTCTCTTACAGAAATCGCATAAAAAGCTGCAAACCATGAACTATATTTACCCTTATGAAAATTTAAAAAAGACACATAAAAAATCTACCAAAATAAACTACCGGAATAAAATACCCGGCCAGTACGCTGACAACAACTGGAACAAAACCATTACGCCGCCAAAAAACATCAATTTTTATCTGAAAACTTTTCAATCCAGCGGGAGCATAGAATTAGTTTTCCCTTGAAAACATGATATGATGACATCAAGCCGATATAATAAAGGCCGAGATCAATCAAGGGGAAAAAGCCGGAAAAAATGTTGTCATAAAAAACTTGAACAATAATTGCTATTAAGATTAAGTGAGCATAAAAACTGTTTCGCTTCCAACGACTCAAAATTAGCCCACTGAGCCAATAAACAATTAGCCGACATCATTCGTGCAGAATAAAGTTTTTAAGCAGAAAAAATATTTAAAAAAATACGAAAACAAGAAACTACTAACAGCAGAAGTAAATTAAAACTCTAAAAAGTAAATCGCGTACAGCAAAATTAAACAATTATACGATTTGAAAAGTAAGCTGACAAAACAAGATCCGCTCGATTGTAATATTGCTCGTATGTTAGCCCATTTGTAATACAAATGTTTGCTCGTATGTTAGTCCTTTCCGCTGTAGATACAGGCTCTAACTTAGAACAATAAATTTTACACAGAGGCGAAGCTCTAACAGTAAAAAATTTTTCTTAGGTTAGAAAAAAGAAGGTTCGTACTAATACACTAGCTTCTTAAGTGTAAAAATCCAACATATTGAATAAAATCTCCATTGCACCAAAATAGATTCTCGAAATAATGCAATGACTATTCAAAACTTCAAATATAACTTAACAGACAAATGAGCCTCTCACCTCAGCAATTTCTTCCTTGATCCGTTCATTTTCCTCATTCAAATCATGGTACAACTCCAGTTCATTCGCTCTCTTCCGATTGGCCGCCTTTCTCCTCTTAGTCGACTCTCTCTTCATTGGCAGACTACCACTTCCATTCCGCTCAACACCCGCAACAGCCAAGTGCTTCACACTCGATTCCTTGGCCACATCTTCAATTACATTTGGGTTTCTGCTTCCGTCAATCAGGGCTCTGAGTTTGGGTCCAAAAATGAAGCCTTGAGTGACGAAGACTGAGAGAATTGTAGCGAGCGCTGAGAAGATGTAGGAGGCGTCCTGGTGAGCCTTGATCAGCATCGTCACTGGAACTGTGGTCCAAAATAAAGTCTGAAAGATTCACTTTTTTTGGCTCTCTACGTTTAAATTAAAAACAATCTCCTTTGTGAGAAATCAGTGACATAATTTCAAAGTTGCCAAATACTACCTACTTTTTTAAAGCTTTCATATTCAAATTTTTCTCTTCAGACGCTTTTAAAATGTATTAACACGAAGTAGTGTCTTCCTTAAAAAAAGCTGAATGTTTGAGCCAGCCAACTTCGAATTTCGCGAGCTTCAAACTCGAATATCTAATATAACTTTTTAAAACACTTATTCCTTCACATTTATTCTTCGAATTCAAAATTATCCGATGAACTCACCACAATGTTATAGACTGACATGGCAACTTGTCGCGAGTCATTCATATTATCCAAGTGGACATTTCGGGAATCGTATGCAAACAGAGCACCCAATAGAAGGAGGAAACCCTTTATGCCGAAGTTCAGTCCTGAAAAGAAGTTATTATGTAACTATCTAAATCCACTGATGGACACTTGTAAAAATTGAAAGGTCTTTATACCTGTCCAGGTGTTGTGGTCAGTGGATCTGCAGTGTCTGATGTATGGCCTCACTCTCACTTCGCCGTCTGCTGTGACATTGCGCATGGGCAGGAACTCATTCTGGAGGGAGAGGGGCGCCAGGTATGAGTAGAGAGAGAGGAAGGCGAGGTCGAGCAGGAAGAGGAGAGACAGACAAGCGTACATGTGTGTGGAGCTGACCTGCAACAGATTTACCAAACTGAAATAAACATATACCTCATCTGAGCTACGCATTTGTTAATGCTCAACAATTAACAAATGTTCGGAACGAGATTGCTAAGACCATTTTAAGCTTTAGCATTTGGAGAAAACTAGTAGATTAGCTTTCAGTGGATGAAAATATATCATACCACAAAAATTAATTCAATTGCAAAGCTTAAGAAAGATAGCCTGTTACTGTACAAGAAGCACAGAATGTTCCGACTAGTCATTCAAAAATACAAAATAAAGTTTTTTCAAACTTGTGTCGTTTTTTTTCTGCGTGGTGTGATAAAAAAAAGGTCTGAACGAAAAACTTAGAACTTACAGTTGGAAAAGAGTAATGAATGTAAGGAAACTGAAAAAAAAACCGACCTGTTTTTTCAAAAATCTTAAGCTTTTGAATTTCGCAGAAAAAAAATGGATGGCTTTAAAGCTCTTTGAAATTGTAGAACGATTTATGATGGACACTTTTTTCTTGAAACCCAATTTGAGAAAACTGGATCAATAGGTTAAAAACTTTTATTTCGCTGGGAAATCTGAAAATTAACTTCCATTTTCGAAATTAGAAGTCAATAACGTTTTTCGTGACTTTTACATTTTCGCTGTTCGATAGTGAAGTCTGCCTTCCTTTTAGCAAAGTAAATGCACTGATCTTTAAAAGAAATCACAAGTCAAGCCGCAAAAAAATCAAAATTGAGCGTGAACCAAATAAAACTTTTTCCTGAAAAAAATCAGCAAAACCTTTATAAGAGTACTCACTACGTTCATTACTCTTAACTAGACCAGTTGTAAAAAGTTTTGTAGAAAAATGACTACAAAAACGGAATAAAAATCGTTCAAAAAACAATTAAGAATTTCAGAAAGATTTTTGCAGTAATTTTATGAATTTTTGAAGTTTTTGAGTCCCAAATTGGCGCTAATAACTCTCAAAAACTAACTTTACTTAATAAACACTAATTAAGCTTAAATAAGCTTTTGTACGCCTGCACGCTCACTTATCGACCAAAAACCAAAAATTACAAACCGGTTTTTCTCGTCACTGAGAAGCTTTTTCAAAATGTTTTGATGTCATTCAAATCACGACTGAAAGGGCTTAAATATGATATATCAGTCGACCCATTCCGATGATTATTTATGGTACCTAATTTTGCGTGAAAAAAAAACGAAAACACCCGAATACAAAGTTCCTCCCCATTTTCAATGGTCGGAACAAAAAGGTATTCACTTCAGGATTATATGTGACATCCATGTGTGTATAAATATATTGGCCTATGAAATTGGTCACCGAACAAACATCATAAAATAATTGAGAGGGAGCTCAGACCTTAACATCTTTTGGTAGTTCATGGCCTCCGAAGGTGGAGGCTCCACCCACTGAAGATTGGCCCGAGGGAGGGTCTCCTCTTTCAGACATCACACTGGCCTAAAAGAGAAAATTAAATCTATTAAAAATAAACGAGCTCCTTGTTTTCGAAAGCTTTGTTGCATATTTTCTTCAACTTTATTTCTTCTTTTACACACGATTCATGAAGCGCATTACAAGTTCGATTTAGATGATCGGACGAAAAAAAACCACAAGTAACAGGGACACATTAAACAACGCAATAGAAGCGATGAAAAATTACAAGGACGTTGAAAATAGCCAACATTAAATGATGCTAACTAACCTTTTTTTGAATTTCGGGCTGTAACAATATGCAAATAGAAAATTACATTTCAGCTGTACTTAATCCGCACATGTAATGCGACAACTCCATTTTTCGAAATTAGAAGACGATCACGTTTTTCTGTTCGATTGTGGGGGTTGCCTTCCCTTTAATAAAGGGATTGAGCTGAACTTGGGAAAGATCAGAAGTCAAACCGCGGAAAACCGAATTTGAGCCTATACAAATTTAGAGACTTTTCCTGAAAGAAAAAATCATCAGGACCAGGACATATATAAGAGTTTTCACTATGTTCATCGACTCTTAAAAATGATTAATATTGGCTACGTTGTTCATTACATACCCTCTGTGCCAGAGTCATTTTGGCTTTGGACCTGATCAAAGTGGGGCTGGTGAGTCCATTTGAAGATCCCCCATGAGACGCCCTGCTCTTAGCCAGAGCCTTCATCCTGGATGGCTTCATTTTAGCAGCAACCACGTGCAGAGCCCACACTTTGGCAAAGAGGGCGCCGAAGCCCAGAGTGAATCCGAGAGACATCAACCACAACACACCCTAGACAGAATTGAACATTAGATATCTCTGCATTTAAAAACAGCACTATTTTCAGGTATATCAAATATAAACATATAACAAATGGGTCTTTTATATTAGTCCCCTCCCAACCCAAGATGTATAAAATTGGCCAAACATTTATCATATGTTGTATAAAAACTGAAACTTACATACGAGGACAGTTAGAAACCAAGTATTAATTTCGAAGAATCCCACAAGCTTAAAGCACCCAAACCGATTGCAACAGCTGTTGATATGCCTCCTCCTCACCTGGCAGAGAGTGTCAGTTCTGATGGAGGAGTCCAGTTCGTCTGTGAGACCATTGAGGAACACACAGAACAGAGTGACCACACATCCAAGCAACATCACGCTGTTCATCGCCGGCTGCGAGTTATAGATGATGCTACAACGCACACCGATTCATTAGAAACGAAGAATGAACCAAACTCAGCTCAAAAAGAGAAAAAAGATCAGAAAACGAAAAAAAAGTATATTTCTGGAGTCATTTGAATTTTAAAATACATCTGCCTGAAACGTTTTCTGACCAGGGGACTCCAGAAGAGTTTAATCGATTGTCACAGGTTGGCAGTCATACAGTTTTTCCAGCAACAGATGAGTTAGAGAGCGAAGTGGCAGAAAACTGATCCGAAACTTCATATCAGTCAACTTATAAAACATATATCAATGTATATCCCATTTACGCAGATTATTTTACCTGGCATTTCTAAAACTGGAGTTGTTGAAAATGAGGAGTGCTATGGAGATTAGCATCCCAAGAAAAGCGAAGATGGAGAATGTGAAGAGCACAGGGGGCTTCAATCTGTCCAGCTCACTTCTCATCTCTATCTGGTCACGCGGCGCCTGGTACTTGACTGAAACAAGCAAATCCTTCAATTTTTAATTGCAAATTTCAAACCAAGCTTTTGATTATGTCTCGAAACAAAAGCATAAAACGCCCCAATTTTACATTATTTCAGCTACAAACTGAAAACCAAATGTCATTCAATCATCATTAAAGAGATTTTGTTTTCTACTTACCACTGAATGGCCAGAAGTCGTGATCATTCTGGACCATGCTGACGTCATAGTTCTCAGTGTGGGAGCCATAGTCCAAGTAGGAACCATCTGAAATCAACTACTATTATTCGTCACACTACATTATATTAAGCATTTTCACATATAGAGAGCATCCTAGTCATTACACCAAGTCATCCCCTAGAAAAGTCACTAAAGAATAGCATGCTAAATGAACATTTTCTTTTTTTTTGGTTTCACGTATAATTGTGGGTAGAATCATTAACGAACTAACTGCTCATGAACTCTATGGCCACACTCGACACTCTGTCACCCGCGAAGAAACTCACGTTGCCCTGAAAACAAAAAAATTAACGTATGGAAACAGATGAGTGTGGTGCAAATGAGCTGAGACAATTAGACATCTCCATTCATGCTCACCGATACTCCCATGAAGTTCGTCCTGTCTAAATTCCTCTTCAACAACGAGAACGCATCTTTGCTCAACACAGTCACGTCTCTGATTGCTTTGAACTCCTCCTCAACGCTCTTTCCTTCATTCTTCAATTCAACTATAGTTTTGTTGATCGCAATGGCCAGAGCCCAAACTGCGTCGTATGCTAGAGGCGACTCCGGAAACCCTCCCGAATTCTTTCCGGCCTTGTCCAATTTGTCCAACAATTTCGACTGGAAGTGCAGAGGTTTCTAAATGGAGAAGAAAATCAACTACTACGCCTTTATTCCAAGCATAACCGTTAATTTAAAATAGAATAATTACACAGAGGCAAAAACTAGCTCTATACAAAAATTAGCTGTATAAAGTGCAATAAGAAAAAGTAAAAATAAAATTCGAATGAGTAAAAACTCGGAACAAATCTCGGAACAACTGCGACCTAGAGATTATGATTCTCACACACTAACCACTCAGCCACGTACGCTTAATAAATTACAAACAATCCACAAAAAAGCAGAAAACAAATGCTGTGAAACTTCCAGCTACACATGGTGATTATAGCAAGAGTGCCACCAAATAATGAACACTTTTAATTGCGAGTTAGGTTAGAAAAAAAAGAAGGTTCGTAGTAATACACTACGCTGTCCGAGAATTTCGCCTTGCACATTTCAACTTACAATTCCGGAGAAAGTGGGAGAATCCTCTGATCCCAGTTGCATGATCTCAGTCGTGAAGTGCCCTTCGGTAGCCGCACGCATTTGCTCCAAAGTACAACTCAAATGTTCGTTCTTCCGCGGGTGAAACCAGTTGTCAGGAAACCAACCCAGAATGAACCAGACTATTTTTGGCCCATACAGACCTGCTTTATACGCTTCACAGAAGACCTGACGCGCTACTGTTTCGTAGAAAAGTCCAACAATAACTCGTGCATCTTGAGCCTAAAAAGTTTAGTTATTAATCAAAATATAGTTGAGCCTAAAAAATAAAGCAAGCAGCTCTCTGGGCGAGGTATTCGTATCTTGGTGAAATTTTTTTGCACTAATTTCTGAATATCACAGTAAAAGCTGAAACTACAGCTAAAAGTTGAATTCAAGCTACCTTGTATCATGATAACACACTTTTTTGACTTCCTAACACGCTTTGTTTGCTAATTATGATTTCCGGGAACTATTGCAGAGGATTCTCACCAGAGGTGTTTCAGAGCTACTTGCCTTCAGTGATTCGATTGCATTCTTAGGATTGGTTTGGAATGTGGACCTCTTCACGGCGATGCCATGCTTTTTCCCCTGTTGGGTCAGATCATCCGCTGTCTAAAAAAAACAGATAAAATTAGGGGAAACCAGATCAGATCTTTTCAAATAGTATGTTAACAGCATGACTTATGAGAGCATTCTTCACCATATCAACCTTTTCAACCCTATGACCATCACTAGGATTTACATGGAAACTAATCATAAGTCAAAGTAATGCATCGATGCTAAAGACAAACAAAAAATCCTAAAAACCCTTTTACTTCTTAGTCAAAGGCCTAAAAGCTGTTCACTTTTCAGATCTTCATATCTCGTATGTTCTCTTTTCCTCGAAGATTAATTGTCGAAATTATCACCCCAATTCTAGTTAGAGATAAACTTCTTGGGGACCCTATGATAAATAATAAAAGTAATATCTCACCGTGGTGAACACTTCCTGTAAATGGACTAGTACAAAGGCCTTCTTCCATCCGAACTGAGAGAAGAGGTTGAGGCGGGTGGGGTTGTGGATGAGTGCGGAGGGGTGTGTGCGGAAGAAGGTGGGGAACCTGTCTCGGTCAGAGAGCGCAGGACTGCTAGACCCATACGACACCTAAGAAAGAAAATATATGGTCACAACGCCAAGTAATTACAAAACAATTCAAAGACAAGCGAAGATTAGCAAAACTGAAAAGATAAGCTCACCAAACTTAACTGAAACATTTTAATAGCATTGGATATATGATCAATTTTCGAACTTTTCATTTAAACTGGCTCCAAACTCTAATTCATGTCCCAATGCTAAGGGCGAAACAATTTTTTCCAAAGTTCAATGCGAATATTCAACCTCACTACCTAATGCTGAAGTTCAAAAAAGTTGCTTGCATTAAAAATCTTACATTCAAATTAATTAATTAGCAAAATTACCTGGTTAGCATCTTATTGTCGATCCACATTGCTGCAAAATGCATGCTTTAGAAAGCATCATTCTCATGCATTTTTTCGACACTCTTCAAACACAAATCGGCTAAAATAGGAGCAAACTCTTTATTTTCTGCAAACACAATTCAAAGGTAATCATTTTAATGAGCATGAAATTCAGGGAATTTGTTACAACTAGTGAACTAACAATTATGTTAATAGCTGGCAAGACTTTTGCATCAGTAGCACACAGGAGCAGATGTAGGATTTCCGAATAGAAGAAGGATTTCCGAAAAATCCATCTTCATTATTTTAGGTGCTATAACTTGTTTACCCAACTATTGTGCAACTTGTAAAACCCTGCTTTGTTTAAGCATAGCGCGGTTGTACCACTTTGGTTAAAACGGGCCAGATGTGCCATTTTGTATACCACTGCTATCCAAAACTCGAAACTGTACTTCAAATCGAAAATTGTCCCTTTATAAAAATTAAAATTTTTTAAATCCGCTTTTGAGTGGCACTGACAAAGAATCACGGAAAAGATTTCACAGCGAAGGAAAACTTATGTTGGCCGGCACGAGCATAAAAAATCATTGTTATTCTTAAAAAAATCATGCTCAAAAGAAGCTGCTATGCATCAATATTAACAACATCTAGCTCACCATCAGCACATTCCATAAATGGGCAGCCTCAGCCACTGCAGTTGAGACGGAGCTACATCCAGGGCCCAGTATAGCCGAGGGCGTGTCAGGCGATGACTCATACAGAAAGTCATACAAGTCTTTCACGCCCTTTCCAGGTTCACACTAAAAACGACACCCGCAACTGAAGTTGTCTGCAGATGGACCAAATCACTTTCTTCAATTTTTTTACCAGATTTTTCAAAAGATAAAACACGTTTCGAGTAAAGAAAAAACGTTTTAAACATGTTTTAAACAAAAACAAAATATTGAAATCATATGCAGTCAATGCGCCGCACTTTTCCCAGTTGAGTGCGCTTTTCATTTCACTTTCAGTAGGATCGACTCCGAAAATTCAATTACTACTATCAGCTTTAGGGCTAAAAAGAAAAACACATTTTTTTCCAACTTCCAGTAGTTACGACTACTGAAAGTGGAGAGGAAATTTGCATTCGGTTGTCTCAATTTTTTCCAGGCAAAATCAGGTACTTCTAATAATCATCAGAATGGGTCAAAAGATTGAATGGGCTTTAATATGGTATATTAAAGCCCATTCAGTCATATGATTTTTTTCCAATATATTTCTCGTTGTCCAGGCAAAATTTTTGATTGAGGTACTTGCTCTTATGAGTGAACGTACATAAGTGTTGGTGACTTGCAACTTCAGTTTATATCCATCCACCAGAGACCTCGAGGGATGACAGTTCACGTGTGCCAAGGCCAACTGAGCCGCCGGGAAACACGACACTCCCCCGTCCCAGCTCCCGTTGAGGGGAAACATGGCCCCTATGTTGATGAACTTGGTACCAGAGGAAAAATTTTCACACTTATCTGGGAGTATATCATCTTTGCTATATTCAGCCAAGCTCACTTGAGTCAATAAAACAAATAGAGCGTGAACAAAAACGTTAAGTGAGGCCATTGTGACCAAGTGACTGTCCCGCTTTTTCAAGCTGCTTCTTGACAGGTATGTGTTAATGTACTTCTCATTGTCGGACCTGAAATCATCAACTACCATTGATGTGAAACAAATGATAAGCGAGAGTCGCTCTGTTCGCGTAAGTTTACAATTATCATCGAAGTCAAAAACGTCACGCGAAAAACATTGGTGCATAACAACAAAAAGCAATGCTGAATGTAAACTATCTTTATCTGTAAAACAGAGCAAAATAACTTGCCTTTAACGAGCAACGTAAAACACCACTGAACGCATTGTCAGCTACACCAGTCTCTTCTGGATTAAAAACTTGATTTAATTGTATCAGTCGACTTTGCCTAAAACGAGTCAATCTCCATTCGATCACTCAATTATCAAATGCTCCAAAAATATTAATCTTTAGTTTTAATTAGTTTATTCTTACGTATTTTATGTTTCAATTTAACCACCATCCCCAAAATGCAGTCTTCACAACGAAACATTAAGACGTACAGTCGACTTTTCAAACCCAAAAACTGCAAGACGGAAGGAGGCAAATACACCAATAGCACTATTCGGATAGGTTCGTGATTTAGAAATTATACAACCCTATAAGCACTTTTACTACGGTAAATCCTGGGCCCGAACTACAGCCACATTTAAAACGCATTTTTATATTAGAAACCAGTGATATCCATTTAAAAAAATCAAAATTAAAATTGTTCAAGAAAATTATAAAAAATGGTGGTATCAATTTGCATGTTTTCGCTGAAGTCTGTTTTTTGCTAGCTTAGGGCACTTTTCGCAATTTTGAAAAAGAAATCGAAAGTAATATTGTCGTTAAAACTCAGATTGTTTGCGTTTTACGCGGAACTATGAAATGTGAAATTAATTGGCACAAAAATCTGTGTACTTTGGCGTAGAATTGAATCCTGCTCGGGCAACTTTATTTTAAAAAAATTAAAGGTCTCGATTGAAGTTAAAATTTTTCACTTAACCTGAGTGGCCTCAAAATTTTATGTTTAAATTAATTGAAATTTAAATGAAAATATGAATTAACTTCTGGGTTTTCAAATTGATATCACCGTAATAAACGCATTAAAAAGGATAGCCGGTTGCTGTGCGAGCAGCACATAACGTTCCGGCCATATTCTTAAAAACTACAAAGAATAAGTTATTTGAAATTAGTTAAAGACTAGATTTTAATAACTAAAGACTAGATTTTAGGCATTTTCAATTTTCATAGTGAAATAAGCATATTGGAAAACAGTTTCCTTCGAAAATGACTTGAAAAATAATTGAAATTTTGAAGTTTTCATCCGCAAGATTTGTTACAAATTAAGATTGAGACTTTTTTGATAAAATTAGTTCAATTTGAATAAGCTGGATCAACAGGCAAAGTTTTCCTTAGAGAGAATTTGCGTAGACTTCGAACCTGCGACCTAGAAATTATAAATCTCACAGCCTAACCTCTCAGCCACGGATGCTTAACAATCGGCAAACACTAGCCACAAATAAAGCACACAACAGATGTTATGAAATTTCTAATGCTACATACAGATCGTGATTATAGCAAAAGCGCACTTTTATTTGCAAGTTAGGTTGGCATTAAAATGTTCATGCTAATACACTACGCAAGCTCGCTAGTGTGAAACATAGCCACCTGACAGTTGGAAAAAAGAAATGAACGCAAGTAAACTGTAAAAAAACCGACTGGTTTTTCAAAACTTCAAAACTTTTAAGTTTCGAAGAAAAAAATAGATGGCCTTAAAGCTCTTTGACTTTGTAGAAAAATTTATCATGGACATTTTTTGGTTAATATTAACTCAATTTGAGAAAACTGGATCAATAGGCGAAACTTTTATTTCACTGGGAAATTTGATAATTAATTTGATTATACTAACTTCTAGGGAAAAGCGTGCGCCGAAAAAACGCAATTTTTTTGGTCGAAGTTTTCCAAAAAGTGCCGAATAACGTTTTTTGACCTGTTTTTCAAGACTTCGACTGCGACATAGTCTTCTAAGAGCTTCGGGAGAGCTCAGAAAATTAGATTGGTCGACCTAAAAAAAGTCGACGAAATTTTCGGAAATCTCCCCTCCTCGAGAAAATCCTAGATCCCCCCTGGAACTTTGTGTTCGAGTCGATTGATTTTCAGCCCATTTTGAAAATCTCAATGAAAAATGATTCAAATGCAGTGTCACATTTAAGCCCTATGGATCGTGATTCAGATTCTACAGAAAAAAAACAAAAAAAATCTGTGTGAAGATAATCTATTTTTTTCTATTTACTCCAATTATCGCTTAAAGAGTTCTTTTATTTTAAATTCAATTTTGCTCTAAATTTGACCCGGCTATCAAAACACAAAAGCCTCAATTCCATCCTTTATATCCGCTAAAAAGGGTTAAAAAAAGAATACCAAAAATTAAAGTTACGAAAAAAAAACATTTGAAAACATTGAAGAGATAAAAAATGCGTCATAAAAAATGGAAAAAACTTTTAACAAGATAAGCTATAATAGGTCACATTTTGACCTTTTTCAAATTTTTTTTAATTATAGGCACAGAAACATATCCGTACATATTTTTAAAAAAAAATTCAGAAAACAATAGGATTGCCTCAAAATAAGGTTACACAAAAAACACATAAAATTACGCAAAAGTTCAGTTAAGATTCCACAAAAAGGCAGGGGTGGCTCAAGGATTTTATCGAGGTAGTCCAATTGATTTTCTTTGCTCTTCCAAATTATTACTAAGACCCTATTTTGGACTAATTTTCTGCGCCGAAGCCGATTTTTTGAAAAACAGGCCAAAAACAAGTTTTTAAGCTTTTTCGAAAATTTTAGACCAAAAAGTTTAGATTTTCGGCGCGCTCTCCCCTTCAAAAGAATTAAATAGGCGTTTTTTTTAAATTAGGCCGGTCATTTAACAATGGATGTCTCAAAATTGTACCAAGGAGAGGCCCCCACCCCCTAAGTCTGCTACTGTAAATGAGTATTCATTAACAGAGAAAAGGACACCCCCGCGACTCTATTCAACGGATAAAACTCGAAAATGAAATTTAATTTTTCTCTAAATAGGTTTATCATAGTAAAAAAACTATCACAAAAACTTATCAAATTTTTTCATAGGAATTGTGGGGAAACAGAACTCCAGAAAATCACATTGTTAGCGGTCTTATTATTTATTCATTTAAAATTACACAAGAATTGCCCGTCTAAAGGCTCAAAGTATCTAAAAGCTCTGATGAGAAAATGTATCAAAGCATTGGACGCTGGTTAACAGTAATGTTGGAAACGCAAAATTCACCTTGAATGGCGCTACAAACCGCACAAAAGATAAATTCTTAACGCTAAAAAGCAGAATTTGAAAACGGCGAGAAACAAATAATTGAATAGAAATCATTTGCCGTATAAACAGTCAGTTATGTAAAACTTATCCAACAAAATTCAACGAAAACGAAACAAAAAACCCTATAAAAAACAAAGATAAACAAGAGTCCTCGTATCAGGGCGGAGCCTTGGATGTTCCGACAGCCTTTTAAGGTTTATGGAGCAGTAATAACATAAAAAAATTAAATGTAACAAAATAAAATGAACAACTTTTTCTTCTAAAATTTGAGATTTTTTGGAAAAATCATCCCCCCACACGCCTTATCAAGTACAAAGTGATAAATTTCTCCCCTAGTAACAATTCAATTATGCCAAATAAGCTTCTTTCGACCCGAAGAAAAAAAACCCACCCAGAGCACAAATATTCCGTTACTTTCGTTACGAAAGTCGGAAAAAAGCGACAGCTTGTGAAAAGGCGCATTGGCAAGAAGCGACCACTTTCTCCGCTGCGCTGACACTCGGCGCGAAAGGTATTTTGCGCGAATCAGTGTTTGTCGCTTAATCACATGTTCACGAATTGTCGCTTTTGCAATGCAATATATCTTTAAAAGGTTTTCGGATGATTCGAGGAAAATTAGGGCGGGTCTAGGATTTTCTCGAGGGGAGAACTCTCAAAAAAAATCAAAAATATTATCAACTTTTTTTAGATCGACCAAATTGATTTTCTGAGCTCTCCCAAATCCTTATAAAGACATTAGTTTGACCAAAGTTTCTGCACCGCAGGCAAATTTTTCAAAAAAACAGGCTAAAATGTGTTTTAGGCGCTTTTTGAAAACTTGGACCAAACAATCGCGCTTTTTCGGCGCGCGCTCCCCCCTCAAATTAAGTATATACTAGCGTTTAACGCACCTCCGGTGCTTCGAATTTTTTAGACAGCTCAGGAAAAACCGCATATATTGGAAAACAAATCTGCAAACTTTTAGTGTAATCTGACTGCACCCAATTACATGGTTGGTAATTTCTAACTTTTTAAATTTTTTAAAATCCCATTTTAAACGCGTCATCTCGAAAACTTAATGGGCCTCTGGAGAAATTTGGAGGCCAAATTTGCAACCACTGAGAGCCCCTGATAGCACCCTACTATACGGTTGGGAATTTCAAATTTCGTGATTTTTTTTTAAATTTAAATTTCCCGACAAAAATTGAAAAAATCACAAAAAACGTCTTATGTCGGAAACTAAAATGATTTGAGCATTCATAATTAGAGTTAAGATTTCAGACGCCTGGGTATACGCTGACAATAAGGTTGTGTCTTCATCAAGAGAAATTTTGAAAAAATCAAAAAAAAATCACATCTCGGAAACTAAAAGCATTTGAGCAGTCGCATTTGAGCAATCGCATGTGGCAAGATTTCTAACTCCTGAGAGTGCCCTGAGAGCACTCAACTACAAAGTTAGGAATTTCAAATTATGAAAAAAAAATATTTCAATTTTCTGAATTTTTTTAATGAAAAATCACAAAAAACGTCATATCTCGAAAACTGCAAAGATTTGAGCAGTCATATTTAGAGGCAAGATTCGCAATCCTTGATAGTACTCTGACAGAACCCAACTACAGGATTGGGAATTTCAGATTTTAAAAAAATAATAATAATTTAAATTTTTTGAAAATTTTTGAAAAAATCACAAAAAATGTCATATCTCGAAAACTACAAGGATTTGAGCAGTCATTATTGGAGGCAAGACTCGCAATCCTTGATATTTCTCTTACAGCCCCTTGATATTTCTGATAGTACTCTGACAGAACCCAACTACAGGATTGGGAATTTCAGATTTTAAAAAAATAATAATAATTAAAATTTTCTGAAAAT